CCGGAGTACAGGCGCTGCGTACGACACGACGGCAACCTCCCCTCAACCTCCCCCAACAGTCCCACACCCCTCGACACACGCCCCCTACTGAAACCCTAGCTCCACTCCCATGGCACCCCCCTTAAACCCTAAACCCTCGGCTCCCACACACCCACCCCCCTGAGCAGCAGCTGCAGCAGTGGGAGACGGAGGAGGAGGAGGAGCAGGGGACGGCTCACACTCACGGCACCCCCATACCCTCCACCCCCAAACCCTAACACAGGAACGCGGGCAGTAGCGGGGGTGGGGCGCCGGCAGAAGCTCGGGGGACGGACGAGGCGCGCGCACGGGCCTGCCGCAGGCCGGACGAGGCGCGCGCGGGCTGCCCGGGCCGCGCGCGGGCCTGGCGCAGGCCGTACGGGCCGCGCGCGGGCTGTACGGGCCGCGCGCGGGCCTGGCGCAGCCCGTACGGGCCGCGCGCGGGTCCCAGGGGCGCTTCGACGGGCGACGGGGGCGTTTCGACGGGCGACGGGGGGCGCTCCGACGGGCGACGGGGGCGCTTCGACGGGCGACGGGGGGGAGCGCTTCGACGGGCGACGGGGGGCGCTTCGACGGTGGGAAACCGCCGCGCGCCTCGGGGCGCACGGCGGGCAGAAAACCGCCGCGCGCCCCGAGCGCGCGGCGGGAAGAAAAAAACCATGGGACGCGCGACACACAGGAAGGCAGCGGAAGCAGGCGGGCCCACAGGCCAGGAGCGTAACCGCTCTGATAGCATGTCAAGATAAGCGGTAGTCTTAGGAGCCATAGCTAGGAGAGTCCTAGCTAGGCAAGAGAGTTTAGGCGAAAGAGGAGGGTTGCACTAGCAAGAATGGGGATACAAATAGCAAACCCTAGAAGGGTTGTACTCGCTACAGAGCACCCCACTACAGGCTAGAGCATAATATTCTGACAGTATACGCAGGTAACGTGGGAGGCATTCTTGTGGACGGTTGTTTTCGTTCAGCTATGGGGTCTTCTTCAGTACCGCTTTTCACGGGGCCTTCGCTTGACGGTGAGTTAAGGCGAAGGTATGTATTTCGTAGGCGATTCGTTCGTGGCGATGGGGCATGTTTGTATAGGTGTCTCTCCCTCTCAACATGGAATGACGATGATTATTGGGACCAATTAAAAGTGAGGATTGTTGAGCATGTTTGCGTCAACTGGTCACGATATCAAGACTTGGTTGCAATGTGTCACGATGTGTCGTTAACGACGGTAGGCGAGTATGTTCAATATATCAACGAACAATCGGTTTGGGGTTCAATGTGCGAAATCAGAGCATTCTGCGAGTTAATGAACAAAACAGTTATAGTATGGCTTAATTCTCGCGAGTGGGCGCAATACGAAGGGTTAGAATTCCTATCTGGAGATAACCAGATCCATTTGTTGTTATCCAGCAACCATTATACTTTACTTGAAGAGTGTAATGAGGGTGAAATCTGGGGTAGCTCGTTTTTTGCTAGTGAAGTGTCAAGCGTACCTAGTAGACGTGTTGAACCAGTAACGTTCGGCATGCAGCATGAGCATGCGTCATTCGGCAATGATTCGCTCGAGCAAGCAAGGCGTGCACAATCTTTTTGCAGTGAGGAAGTTATGGAGCCGTCAAGCAATCTTGACGAACGAATGGGATCAGTAACTACTGCGCGAGTATACAATGCGCATCCAATTTGTATTGACAGAGTGCAAGAAGGTGTGGAATTGTCAAGTCAGCAAACAACCAGTGGGCAACCTGTCCGTATGCAAGAAGCGCATGGAGATGAAGAACGGTACAGAATCTCTGGTGCACGAGTTGGGTCGGTTTCGTCTCGAGCGCAGTGTGAACATACCTCATTCGATACTGTTCCACACAATGGAACAAGGGCAATGCCATATGTCTTTGAAGATAAAAAATAAGACGATGAAGTCAGATTCAGCATGTCTGACGATCGGATTGATTCTAATGGAGATATTTACTTTTCAATCCCAAACATTGCACCAAACAGTGAAGGTCTTCTAGGCATTATTGAAGACGGATCTCGTTTTACCGTACGATTTATGGTAAATTATAAAAAAATGTCTGTTCGTGGATTTCCAACTAAACGACATGCTGCTTGGGCACGGCAATATTATATTTTGAAGTATCGAGGATTGAAGACACGCCAAAAGCTTCCGTTTGATCGGCGTTATCTCATCAGTAACGGAAAGCTCGTGGATATACCGTTTTTTGACTATATATACAAGATAAATGATCGTGGGAGAAACACACAAACGACTACCCCAACGTCATACGCCGGGGTCCATGAGGGATGCGAGAAATTCGGTTTCCGAATAATGGTGGAAGGACGTAACTACATGTACGAAAAATGGGATTCTGAAGAATCGGCAGCACGTGCAAGACAATATTTTTTGCATTTAGCATTCGGCCCTAAATGCACTAAAGCATTGCCGTTCAATGTCGACGAGTTCTATGAGGACGGCAAGCTTGTTCGAGATGGGGAATTAGATACAATTTTTGATGACCTTGAAGTTCGATACGATGACGCAAATGAGCAAGCTAGAATAGTTGAAGAAGCAGTGCGTCGATTCGAAGAAGCATCCAAAGAAGGCCCTACACATGCGTGCGGAAGTTGCGATCAGCTATTATTCAGACGTCAATTGTCAATAGTGAAAGACGGTGCATGTACCGTTACCAAAGTGTGTCGTACTTGCAAAATTGCAATCATGAGCGAAGAAACGCCCATACTTTCTCGAAAAAAAGGTGCATTGCTACCCAATCGACCTCACGAACTTACAGGATTGTCGGAATTGGAAGAGCGTTTGGTTTCACCGCGCGTTGTGTTTTCAAGCATTACACAAACGCACGTTGGAAAACAGTACAAGATACGCGGCGGGGTAGTAAATGTTCCAGTCAAGGTTGTTGACATGGTTACTGCATTGCCTCAACTACCACAAGAAACTCATACCGCTCGTGTGCGTTTTAAACGCAAATTGCAGAATGGACATGATGTGTATGATGACAACGTGAGACCCGCCAAGATATTACGAGCCATTTCGTTTTTGGAGAAGAAAGATTTGTTCAAAGAAATTGGAATAAGACTAGATAATGAAAGAATGACTGAATTACAACAGGAGATTGATGATATTGATCTTCACAATCAGTTTTTGTCACACAGCAACGATGGCCAAAGTAACAATTATGCGGCGATTAACGAAGGTGTCACTGAATTCGGTGATGAAGTCGAAGTGGATATTGACGAAGGCGATTTAAACGTTGGAATTTTGGACACTATAATTTGTAACGAACCATTGTATCAAAATCTAGAGCAATTTGTAGTTGAAATGGCGCCCGGCGAAAGGTCGCGACCGTTGCCTATTCTGATGGATAAACATGTTGAGGAGTTAGCGTTTCCTACATTATTTTGCGGAGAAGTTCGATTGCCAAATGTCGATGTATCGGCATTAAAATATCGTGATATTGCAAAATGGGAACTCCTTCATAAAGATGCGCGTTTTGTCAGAATGAACAGGCAGGAATGAGTGAACTAGCAGCATGCAGGAGTACAAGTAGTAAACCCTAATTTGGGTTGTACCCCATATGGGCTACCCCAATACAGCCTAGACAGTATGCAGCACATATGTTTGACACACCCCCATAGGCAAAGTGGGGGAGAACAAGGGGTCACAAGACCAGTCAGGGCAAAGCAAGGCAAAACAGGCTCAGGGTGGATCTCGAGGATTCCACACAAATTCCGAGCACAAGCAAGCGGTCACAAGACCAGTTCACATGCAGGTTTATAACAGAGCAAGAGATACAGTGATCACAACCTAGCAAGAGTAAACATGCAGGTATATATTGTCAAACTGTATTATGCTTGTAGGCTGTAGTGGGGTAGCCAATATGGGGTACAACCCCAACTAGGGTTTCATATTTGTACCCAAACTTCTGTTAGTTCATCCATTCTTGCCTAGTTATTCTGAAATGGTATTCAGAGCAGGAGGTCCCTAGGACCTACCGACCGTTTTTTTTTTAAGGGCCCACCACCGCTCGCATGCGGTTACCACGCTACCCCGTGCCCTAGCCTCGTAGCGCCCTCGTGCGCCCTCGTTAGCGCCCTCGCGCGCCCCTCGTTAGCGCCCTCGCGCGCACCCTCGTTAGCGCCCTCGCGCGCCCCTTCGTTAGCGCCCTCGCGCGCCCCTTGCTAGCGCCCTCGCGCGCCCCTCACTAGCGCCCTCGCGCGCCCCTCGCCGAGCCGCCCGCTCGCAGCCCGCCCGCCCGCTCGCTGCCCGCTTCGCGGCCCGCCCGCTTCGCAGCCCGCCCGCCCGCTCGCTGCCCGCTTCGCGGCCCGCCCGCTTCGCAGCCCGCTCGCTCGCTGCCCGCTTCGCGGCCCGCCCGCTTCGCAGCCCGCTCGCTGCCCGCTTCGCGGCCCGCCCGCCCGCTCGCTGCCCGCTTCGCAGCCCGCTCGCTCGCTGCCCGCTTCGCGGCCCGCCCACTTCGCAGCCCGCCCGCCCGCTCGCTGCCCGCTTCGCGGCCCGCCCGCCTCGCAGCCCGCTCGCCCCGCTGCCCGCTTCGCGGCCCGCCCACTTCGCAGCCCGCCCGCCCGCTAGCTGCCCGCTTCGCGGCCCGCCCGCTTCGCAGCCCGCTCGCCCCGCTGCCCGCTTCGCAGCCCGCCCGCCCGCCCGCTGCCCGCTTCGCGGCCCGCCCGCCTCGCAGCCCGCTCGCCCCGCTGCCCGCTTCGCAGCCCGCCCACTTCGCAGCCCGCCCGCCCGCTAGCTGCCCGCTTCGCGGCCCGCCCGCTTCGCTGCCCGCTCGCAGCGCCGCCTCACTGCCCGCTTGCTGCGTCGCCCGCCCACACCGCTGCCCGCTTCGCAGCTCGCCCGCCGCGCTTCTCACCTGCTGCTCCCTGCCTGTGCACTGCCGCTTTCTCCTGCTGTGGCTACTAGCTTCGCTCTAGCGCGTCCCCTCTGCTGCTGCCGCTGCTCTGCTGTGCCCTCACGCCTGAGCTATGGCCTCTATTCGCGTTCTTTCCTTCGATGCTGAGGGCCGTCCCGTGCAGTTCACTTCCTGGCTCGACGACCTGCAGTTGTATCTTATGAGCAATAGCACGGACCACATCTCCCTCTATGACTACGCGTCTGGTGCTGCCGCTGCTCCTGCTGCCACAGCCGAGCTTAGTGTTCGTTCCCACTGGCAGACTCGTGACGCAGCTGCTCGCCTAGCCATTCGCAGTCACCTCCCGCTAGCTGAGCTCGAGCATTTTGGCGACTGCAAATCCGCTAAGGCCCTGTATGATGCTGTCGTCGCTCGCTACTCCTCGCCTGCCACAGCCGAGCTTAGCCGCCTCATGCTGCCGTACCTGTTCCCCGATCTGTCCACCTTTACTACAGTCGCCGATCTTATCACCCACCTTCGCACTAGTGATGCTCGCCTGCGTGCCGCCCTTCCCACCGAGTTCTGCGCTAAGAACCCCCCCCCACTGTACTGGACACTCCACTTCATAGTCACCCGTCTCCCTGACACCCTCCGCTCAGTTCGAGACCACTTCCTTGCTCGCTGTCCCACTGAGCTCACAGTCGCCCTCCTAGAGGAGCAGCTGCTCGCGGCCGAAAAGAGCATTGTAGCTGTCGGTGCTGCTCGTGGCGCTCCTCGCACCCCCATCTTTGAGGGGTGTTCTCCCTCTCCCCTCGCTCCCTCCTACGCTGCTGCTGCTGCTGTTGACTTCCTTGGTGCTGAGTCTGTTGGCGCTGCTTCTGCTCCTGGTGGGAGGCGCCGCACCGGCAAGGGCAAGGGGGGCAAAAGTGGTGGTGGTGGCGCTGGGGGGGGAGGAGGTGGGGGAGGTGGGGGGGGAGGCGGTGCTGGAGGGAGCGGTGGCGGGAGCGCTGGTGGGAGTGGGGTCGGTGGTGGAGGCGGGGGCGGCGGAGGAAGCAGTGGCAGTAGTGGCGGCGGCGGCGGTGGCGGCGGTGGCGGTGGTGGCGGTGGTGGCGGTGGTGGCGGTGGCGGTCGGAGCGGTGGTAGTGGTGGCGGCGGAGGTCGGAGTGGAGGCACTGGCTCGGGCCAGAGCTCCCAGCAGCAGCAGCGTCCCCAGACGACCCAGCAGCTTCGTGAGTGGCTTGCTCAGCGTGGGACGTCGGGGGCCAGTGCCCGCTGTTCTTATGTCATTCGCACAGGTGACCGCAAGGGACAGACGTGTGGGAGGTTCCACACCCCGTACCGCTGCTTCTCCCGCCTTGACGACGCTTGGCGTGAGGAGATGGGTGCGGATGTTGAGCGCCCCCGCTGGGCTGAGCTCATGAGGGCTGGTGTTGATGTCTTTGCTCTTGACTATGATGCTATTATTGCTGCCATGTATGCATTGACTGTTAGTGCCGAGGGAGACTGTTACTTGTGTGTGCCGCCTGACCCAGGTATAGAGCCCGCTGCCCTGGGTACTAGTGAGTCTGCTCTCTCTGGTATGGTGCCCCCTGTACTTGCTCCCCCCAGTGCTGTCCCGGCTGGTTTCGAGTCTGCTCTCTCAGGTACAGCACCCACAGAGACTGCTCTCTCAGGTACCGCACCGGCTGAGGCCTGTCACACCTTCACCCTTGACTCAGGTGCTTCCCGTTGCTTCTTCCGTGACAGTACTGAGCTCACACCGCTTCCTGCACCGGTCCCAGTCTCCTTGGCTGACCCCTCTGGGGGCCCAGTCCTTGCCCAGTCCACCACTGTCCTCCCTTGTCCGGCGGTTCCGTCTGGCTCGTTGTCGGGTTTCCACCTCCCCTCGTTCTCGACGAACCTGGTGAGCAACGCTGTCCTCCAGGATCAGTGGGTTGACACCTTTACCCCTGGCGGACAGCGTGTGGCGATCTGCACGTGCTCCAGGACCGGCCGTCACCTGGCTACGTTTACCCGTCGGCCGGGGTCGAGTCTCTACACACTGACCACTGCGTCTCCTCAGGTAGCTGCTGTCGGTCAGGTGTCTGCGTCAGGTCTGGTAGCCCACGCCTGTGAGTGTCGTTCCCTGTCGCACCAGACTCTTCTCTGGCACCACCGCCTGGGTCACCCCTCCTTGCCACGCCTTCGTGGCATGCACCGTCGCCACCTTGTGTCCGGTCTTCCCAGGTCCCTCCCTCCCCTCCCTGCCTTGCCTGCGCCGCCTTGCCTTCCTTGCGTCGAGGGGCGGCAGCGCGCCGCTCCTCACTCCTCCTCGTTCCCCCCGACAGAGGCTCCTCTGCAGACCCTCCACCTGGACGTGTGGGGCCCAGCCCGCGTTCGTGGTCAGGGCGGTGAGCGGTACTTTTTGCTGGTTGTCGACGACTACTCGCGTTACACCACGGTCTTCCCCTTGCGCACCAAGGGTGAGGTCCCTGCTGTTTTGATCCCTTGGATCCGCACGGTTCGTCTCCAGCTCCGCCGCCGTTTCCGGACAGATCTTCCTGTCCTGCGTCTGCACTCTGACAGAGGTGGTGAGTTTTCCTCCGATCTCTTGAGGACCTTCTGTCAGGCAGAGGGCATCGAGCAGACCTTCACGCTTCCGGACTCCCCACAGCAGAATGGGGTTGCTGAGCGCCGCATTGGCCTGGTCATGGAGGTCGCTCGTACCTCCTTGGTCCACGCGGCGGCTCCCCATTTTCTGTGGCCGTTTGCTGTCCGGTACGCCGCGCATCAGCTCAACCTCTGGCCCCGTGTCTCCTTACCGGAGACCTCGCCCACACTGCGTTGGACGGGGGAGGTTGGCGATGCGTCGCGCTTCCGGGTGTGGGGTGCTCGTGCCCTTGTCCGCGATACGTCTGCGGACAAGCTCTCCTCCCGCACGCTTCCCTGTGTCTTCCTTGGCTTTGTCCCTGACGCGCCTGGCTGGCAGTTTTACCACCCCACCTCGCGCCGGGTCTTCGCCTCTCAGGATGTCACCTTTGACGAGTCGGTCCCTTTTTACCGTCTCTTCCCCTACCGCACTGCCCCCCTCCCTCCCCCGCCGCTTTTCCTTGCTCCTGGTCCCCCTCCGGTAGACCCCCTTCCCCCTCAGGGTCCTGCTCCTTCAGGTGTCTCTCAGGTAGACCCTCCTCCCGTCGCTGAGCCTGTCGAGGTCACAGGTGACTCAGGTGCTGCTGCGGGTGGTGCTGCTGGGAGTGCTGAGCCTGGGGGTGCTGAGCCTGGGGGTGCTGGGCCTGGGGGTGCTGGGGCTGCAGGTGCTGGGACTGAGGGTGCTGGAGCTGAGGGTACGGTGCCTGAGAGTACGGAGCCTGGGGGTGCTGCGCCTGGGGGTGCTGAGCCTGCGGGTGCGGGGCCTGGGAGTGCTGGGACTGCGGGTGCTGGAGCTGAGGGTACTGTGCCTGAGAGTTTGCCGCCTGGGGGTGCTGAGCCTGGGGGTGCTGCGACTGGGGGTGCTGAGCCTGCGGGTACTGAGCCTGCGGGTACTGAGCCTGGGGGTGCTGCTACTGAGCCTACGGAGCCTCGGGTTACTGCGTCTGGGGGTGCTCCGGTTCGGGGTGCTGAGCAGTCTCTCACACCGCAGCAGCTTCGTGACTGGTACGTCCGACGCTTTCGCCGTCCTAGTGGCTCGGCTGGAGTTGGGGGTGCTGGAGCTGCTCGTCCTGGGGGTGCTCGTACTGGGGGTACTGGAGCTGCCGGGACTGGCTGTTCTGGGAGCACTGCGACTGGAGCTGCTGGAGCTGGGGACTCTGGCGCTGGCGGTGCTAGCGGAGTTGGAGCTGCCGACTCTGGGGGTGGCGCTGCTGCTGGTGCTGCGGACCCGCCTGGTGGAGCTGCTGCTGGAGCTGAGGACCCGAGCGGTGGCGCTGCTGCTGGTGCTGGGGACCCGGACGTTGGAGCTCCTGCTGGTCCTGAGGACCCGGCCGCTGGAGTCTCTTCTGCTTCTGGAGACGCTGCGCGGCCGCGACCGTACTTCGTACCGCTCCTTCAGCAGGTTCTTGGGCAGGCTCCTCCTCCTTGTCCTCCTCCCTCCGTAGAGTGTCCTCCGCCTGTCCAGCCGCAGTCACAGTTACCGCCTGCCTCGCCTCTCCCTGCTCCCTCTCCTTACGCTGGTCCCACAGGAGGTCTTACCGAGCGTCGTGAGCCTGAGTCTCGTCCTGCGTCGCCTGCTCGTACTGCTCGCACTGGTAGTCGTGTCCGTCGTGAGCGTCCTCCTGCTGTCCCAGGCACTCACTACATGACTCTGCGTCCCTCCACTGCTCCTCGGCGTGTCCCTCTACCGTCTCCTCCTGCGTCCTCTTTGCCTGCCGTTCCGGACCCTGAGTCTGACCAGTATCGTGCTGAGCACCCTACTGTCACGCGTCTCCTCGCTACTGTTGTCACTGACCCTACCTTTGAGTCCTCGGCTGCGTCTGCTCTGGTCGCTGAGTTGGTTGACTTTGCTGCTGCCTGTCGTCTAGACTACGCTGCTAGCCTTGTTGCTGAGTCAGAGTCTGCGTCTGTCTGTCCTCCGTCCGTCGGGGGTGAGTGTGCTCTTGGCACGGACGTCCTTGAGGACAGGCAGGAGGACTTTGACTCTCTTGCGGCTGCTGTACCTCATCTCGTGGCCTGGTTGCTTGCCCCTGAGGGAGACCCGGATGCACTAGACATCCCCACTCCGCGCACTTACGCAGAGGCGATCTCGGGTCCCTACTCCTCTCAGTGGCAGACAGCCATGGACGCAGAGATGGCATCGTGGAAGTCCACAGGCACCTACGTCGACGAGGTTCCCCCTCTTGGGGCGAACATCGTCGATGGCATGTGGATTTTCAGGGTGAAGCGGCCGCCAGGTTCTCCGCCTGTCTTCAAGGCTCGTTACGTTGCTAGAGGCTTCAGTCAGCGTCAGGGGGTCGACTTCTTCCAGACCTTCTCCCCCACCCCGAAGATGACCACTCTTCGGGTTCTGCTGCACGTTGCTGCTCAGCGTGACTACGAGCTTCACTCTCTTGACTTCAGCACAGCGTTCCTGCAGGGCAGCCTGCACGAGGAGATCTGGCTGCGCCGCCCACCTGGCTTTACTGGGTCGTTTCCCCCTGGTACCCAGTGGAGTCTCCGCCGGCCAGTCTACGGTCTCCGCCAGGCGCCACATGAGTGGCACGACACACTGAGGACTACTCTTGCGGCTCTTGGGTTCGCGCCGTCTACTGCTGACCCGTCGCTGTTTCTGCGCACAGACACGTCGCTGCCGCCGTTCTACATTCTCGTGTACGTCGACGACTTGGTCTTTGCTACTGCTGACACTGAGGCACTCGCTCGTGTGAAGTCGGAGCTGCAGAAGAGACACACCTGCACTGACCTGGGTGAACTGCGTAGCTACCTTGGCTTGCAGATCACCCGGGACAGAGCTCGCCGCACCATCACCCTGACTCAGTCACACATGGTGCAGCAGGTCCTTCAGCGCTTCGGCTTCCAGTTCTCCTCACCACAGGCCACACCTCTGGCTACCAGCCACTCGCTCTCAGCTCCACCTTCGGACGAGTCCGTAGAGCCGAGTGGCCCGTACCCAGAGCTTGTAGGCTGCCTCATGTACCTGATGACTTGCACGCGACCTGACCTCGCGTACCCTCTTAGCATCCTTGCTCGTTACGTTGCGCCTGGGAGACACAGGCGAGAGCACTGGGAGGCTGCTAAGAGGGTGCTGCGTTACCTGTGCAGTACATCAGGCATGGGGCTGGTGCTTGGAGGACGCGACAGAGTTGTCCTCACTGGTCACTCGGACGCCTCTTGGGTGGACGACCTGGCTATGCAGCGGTCGTCACAGGGTTACACCTTCAGCCTTGGCTCAGGTTCTGTCTCGTGGCGGTCCACCCGCTCTTCCTCTGTTCTCGGCTCTAGTTGTGAGGCTGAGATCTACGCCACAGCCATGGCTGCACAGGAGTTACGCTGGCTCACCTACCTGCTGACTGACTTGGGAGAGCGGCCTAGTTCTCCTCCAGTTCTGTACGGTGACAACAAGGCGGCTCTTGCCTTGTGTCAGGAGCACAGACTGGAGCACAGGACGAAGCACATTGCTCTTCGCTACTTTCTTGCTCGAGAGCTTCAGCAGCGCGGTCAGCTTCGGCTTGTGTACGTGGACTCGAAGGCCAACACTGCTGATATCTTCACCAAGGCGCTCCCGCCTAGTGATCATCAGCGGCACTGTACTTCTTTAGGCCTTGTGTCCACGTTTCCTCACTTGCTCACTGCTTGACATTCTTTGTACTGTACTTTATATATATCTTGTTGCTTGCTTGCTAGGTTTTGATCACTGTGTTGCTTGTCTTGTACTATATCTAGCACTGCATGTGAACTGGCCTTGTGGCCTTTACTTGTGCTCGGAGTGTGGTGACGTTGTGATCCACCCTGGGCTTTGTTTTGCT